AATTCTATTACATGTATATACATATATAGGACAAGTAAGTTCTGTGTGATGAAACCAAATTTGAATGTGTTAAACATATTAACACTATATAATAAAACTTCAAAGTTTTAATCTTTTAACCTGAAATGATGGAAATTAAACTTTTCAATTTAAAAACATTTCAAGAGAAAAGATACAGTTTTCAACAGATGGTGTTTCAACAATTCATGTTATTCAAAGGTGAAAAATAAGCCTAGACTTCAACCTCACACCTCACACAGGGGAAAAAACTTTGTGATTAATCAAATGCGGTTAATGAAAGATTCTTTAAAAACATGACATAAGAGTAAAAGATTGATAAGTATCTTTATCAAAATTTAAAACTTTTGCTCTGTAAGAGATTAGAAAGATAAAGTATAAACTCAGAGGTAAAAATATCTGCAAATCACATATCTAAGGACTTGTATCCACATTTTATATAAAGAACTCTCAAAATGCAACAATAAGAAAAGAATCCAGTATGAAATGGGCAAAAGGTATGAACAGACACTTCACTAATGAAGATATAAGGATGACACAAAAACATAAAAGGAGCTAAGTATCAGTAAATATCAGTAGCTACTCAGGAAATGGAAATTCCATGATGAAATATCACCATAGATTATAATGTTTAAAATTCTGTAAGAAGTACTGACAATACCTAATCCTGGTCAAGATGCAGAGCAACTGGAATGCTCATATGTTGTTGGAGGGAATTCAAAACGGTACAATCAGTCTGGAGAAAAATCTGGCAGGTTCTTATAGAGTTAAACATAAACTTACAACCAGATTATCCAGCAGTCTCAGTCTAAGATAAATGAAAACTTATGTTCACACAGAAACCTGTACACAAATGTTTGCAGCAGCTCTATTCATAATTGTCAAACTGAAACTACCTAAATGCCTTTCAATAGATAACTGGAAAAACAGTGCTATGTTCATACAATGGAATACTACTAAACAATAAAAAGGAATGAACCATTTCCTCATTCCTTCATTAGCCCCCATTGTCTGTGGGGGATATTAACATATTGCAGGATCCTGAGTAAATGCCTGAAACCATGAACACCACCAAAACCTATACATAAGATGTTTTTCTGTATACACACCTATGATAAAGTTTAATTTATAAATCAGGCAGGTGTGCTTAGTCACTCAGTCCTGTTTGACCCTGCAACCCCATGGACTGCAAGGTCCTCTCTCCATGGATATTCTCCAGGCAAGAATACTGGAGTGGTTGCCATGTCCTTCTCCAGGTGATCTTCCCAACTCAAGAATCAAACTCAGGTCTCCCACATTGCAGGCAGATTCTTTACCTTCTGAGCCACCAGGATATTAACAACAACTAATAAGAGAAACAGTATAACAATATAGTATAATAAAAGCTATATGAAAGTCTCTCTCACTCAAAACATCTTACTGTATAAATTTAATGCCTTTCTCATCTTAACTATGAATTTATGAACTGTGACCATGACTTCTGCAGTTTGGTGTGCAACAGCAGAATTATCACAAACTTCCTTTTCCTTCTCATAATTTCACACACAGAAGACTTCTTCATATCATATATTAGCATACGATTTTTTTCATTAAGTCAAGAACTTTCTCCTGCTCACTTAAAAGAAGCACTTCGTGGATGTTCTTTGTCAAATCCAAATTGCCTGCATTACTCCTCTGCTTCAGAGCCATTAATAAGTTAAAAAAAGGGTTATGTGAACACAAGTACTGCAATATCATGACAGTCAACCTAGTATACAAGATGGCCACTAAGTGACCAGTGACAGTATACGCTGGACAAAGGGATGATACAGATCCCTGGTAGGACAAAGAAAATGTCGCAAGATTTCATCACACTACTCAGAAGAGTGCACAGTTTAAAACTTATGAATTGTTTATTTCTGGAATTTTCCATTTAATGTTTTTGACAGTTGTTGACCATGGATAACTTGTTGGGGTTTCATGAAGCCCCAGAAAGCAAAACTGCAGATAAGAGGGAAATACTGTATTGATATATTCAAAAACTTGGATAAATTTCAAAACCATTATGTTGAGTAAAATAAGTCAGTTTCAAAAGGCTGCAAATGAACTAAGTCTAAATTAGTAGAAAGAAGAAAATAAAGACCACTAAATAGACAATAGAAAAGATAAATGAAACTGATATTTCAAAAAGATAAACAAAACAGACAAAGCTTGAGCCAAACTTAAGAGAACTCAAATAAATAAAATTGGAAACGAAAGAGAAGACATTACAAGGGATACAACAGAAATACAAAGATTATAAAAGACCACTATGAGCAATTATACACAAACAAACAAATTGGCTTCCCTGGTGGCTGAGATGGTAAAGAATCCTCCTTCGAAGGCAAGAGACATGGGTTCGATCCATGCATTGGGAAGATCCTCTGGAGAAGGAAAGGGCAACCCACTCCAGTATTCTTGCCTGGGAAATCCCATGAAGAGAGGAGCCTGGTGGGCTATAGTCCATGAGGTCGCAAAAGAACTGGACACAACTTAGTGACTAACTAACAACAAATTGAAGAAACTAAAATAAATAGATAAATTCCAAGAAACTTGCAACCTACCAAGCCTGGATCATGAAGAAAGAAAATCTAAGCATATGTTACCAGTAAGAATCAGTAATCAAAAGAGACTGTATCAGTAATCGAAAAATCACACCTTATCACTCCCATCAAAATAAACAATTTCTTAACAGAACTCTAATATCAATTCATATGAAAGGTCACCAAGTCTCCTCTGGCAACCACCAATCTGTTTTCTGTTTACAAGACCTTGGTTTTTGTTTTTAGATTCTATACGTAAGGGAGATTATATAGTATTTGCAAGGTAAATCATATCATATTTTATCATATACTATTTGATCATATGGTATTTTACTTATATGTATATTATGTAAAAAATACACACACACACACACACAGACATATGTATATTTCACAAGTTGAAACAGATATTTCCTGTCTATTTGAGAAAAAAGATTAATATGGTAAGTATACAAAGAGAATGTGCGATAACAAGAAATATATTGGTCTCTGCCCCTAGTTCCTGGCACAGAGCTCCTAAAACCCTTGTAATTTCATAAGTGATACGAACACTAGGAGTACCTCTTTCTCTGGTATCAGTTTTTGACCTCTGTTCCTGACACAGGGCTCTTGAAACTCTTGTAATTTCCTACATGATAGGAGGGTCTTCTATTTAATGAGGTGACAGACACTGGGTGGGCTCCTAGATGGCTCATGAGTGAGGCTGGTCACTGGAAAGACCAAGCTATGATCAGAAGCTTGGAATTTTTAGCCCTATCCCAATTTTCTTGAGAGAAGTGAAAGGGGCTGAAAATCAAAGTCTATGTGATGAAATCTCCATAAAATTCCAAAAGTAAAGATCCAGAGAGCTCCCAGGTTGGCATACACATCCACACTGGGAGGATGAAGAACCCAAACCCCTGGGAACAGAATCTCCTATGCTTGGGACCCTTCTCGACCTCACCCTATGTAAAATATCTCTATCTGTATCCTTTATCTGCTGTTACCATAATCTTTAAAAAACTGGTAAATGTAAGGGTTTCTCTAAGTTCTGTGAGCTGCGGCAGCAAATTAATCAAACCTGAAGAGGGGGTCTTGGAAATCTCTGATTTATAGCCAACTCAGAAAGAAGTTGCAAGGCAATCAGCATCTGAAATATGGTAGGATGGTCCAGTAGGACAGAGCCCTTAACCTGTGGGACCTGATACTATCTCCAGGTAGATGTTGTCAAAACTGAGTTCAACTGTAGAATATCCAGCTGGATTGTCGAGAATTGCTTGGTATGGGGAAAAACCTCCGCATATTTGGTGATCAGAAGTTAAATGTTCTGTGTAAAAGTAATGGAGACACGAAGGAGGGAAACATAACATGGAAGAACTGAGTTTTTCCCAGCATAGGAAAGAGGAAAACTGAGATTTTTTTTTTCTAGAGAGAACTTATAAATCAACAATAACAAATGAACATCTCAGAAGAAATAAGCAAAGGACAAAGAACATGCAATTCACAGAAGAAAAAAATAAAAATGAAAATTAACATATGAAAATATATGTAACCTTAGTCAAAGCATGCAAAGGAAAAAAATGACCTGCATTTCTTAGCCTATGTAATTGGAAAAATTTTAAAAGATGACATTATTCAATGAATAGTCCAAAAGGGGTTATCCATTAACCTTATTTCTAAAGAACAGTTTGGAAATAGATATCAAAATTTTTAAGGGCATAGTCTCTGATCCAGATTTTTCAGTATTAGAGATGTATCCCTTAATGACAGAATCAGACAGATTTTTAAATGTACATGTAAGCATTCTTACCACAGTGCTATTGGTAAATTAAAAATATTGGAAATAGCCTAAATTTAACAATTACATTAATTTATCAGAGCCTTGTTTAAATTTTGTTACATTCACACAGTGGGAATTTATGTAGATGATAAAGATTGACATGAAATGTTCCACAATACACTGTTAAGTGAAAAAAATGCAAAATCAAAAAAATTGCACATATATGATTCCCACCCACCTGTAGTTAAGATATTTGGTGATTTTTTTATATTTGAATTTTCAGTAGTGAATTATCTTTCAAAACAGTCAAAACAATAAATGTATTCTCATTTGAAAAAAACAGCTGAAGTGTTAGGATGTATGGAAGGGCACCTCCCTCCATCTACTGGGAACTTCACCTCTGAATAGTCTGGTGGAAATAGTGGTTAAGGGACTGCCCAGTGCCTAATGCTGAAGGCTCAGTTAAATATATTCTGCAGAGAGTTCAAATCTTGCAAATTGCAAGATAGCCTATATTTCTGATCAATTCTATTCAAACACTCAGTGGTGGCATTTTATTTTATTGTGGCTAGATTTAATAGCATGATAAAAATATGAATTGAGATTTTAGAAATCTTTTCCAAATAAAATAAACTCACAGACTAACAAAGTAAAATGATTACCTGTCTCCCTTTGGTTTTCTTTTTTGTAGTGTCTTCCCTTTGGGTCTTCTTTCGCTTCCTAAACAGGGACTCCCACCAGGTCCTGTTACCCGTATTGATTCAAGGCCTTTGGAAGATTTTTTAAATGTGAATTCCACTGGTTCTCCTTCTTTTAGGCTTCTAAATCCTTCCATGAATAATTTGCTCTGAGAAGAGCAGAAGAGGAAGAGAGAAAAAGAGATTATGATTATTATTAATGCTTTATAAATTATCTCGTGATTTTAAGATCAACATAGCAAGACATCTCCAGTTATTCATTATTAAATATAAAATCATTTTTTGTCAAGTTCAGTGAAAGGCATACCATTTAAAAGTTTCCTGTTGTAATAATGCTGGCAGTGAAAGAATAAACTCATACCATTTCGTAAAGAATCTGCCTGCTTCTGCTAATGCAGGAGATGTAAGAGACAAGGGTTGAATCAGTGGGTTGGGGAGATCCCTTGGAGGAGGAAATGGCAACCCACTCCAGTATTCCTGCCTGGGAAATCCCATGGTCAGAGGAGCCTAGAGGGCTACAGTCCCTGGGGTCACAAAGAGTCTAAAAGAGACACAGAGACTAAACAACAATCACCCTAAAGTCCACCAATGGGAAACTGATTAAATACATTATGATAAAGCTATATAATGTAATACCACTGAGTCATTAAAAGATCTACATGTATTAATATGGGCAAAACAAATATGCAATACTGCTGAGTAAAAACATCAAGGGGAAAACAGTGTATCTACCATAATATTGTCTATACAGAGAAGCTTTTAAAAGGTTCATGTTTACTTATATAGTTACGGGGTCTGGAATAACTGATAGCAAATTATAAAGTCATTTTCTCCAATCTTTTTTGGGGGAGAAGTGGGGAAGCTCTTGGATACACACATTATTGTACTGTTAGCGCTTTTTTTTTTTAATTTGAAAGATAACTTGATTTTTTTTTAATTTCCTGATTAGAAAAATGTAACTTAGGTTACAAATAATAATCAGCTCTTTGACCCGATGTGCCAACTCAGACAATACTAAAGTAATTAAATCATTCTAATTTTATTTATTTTTTCAAACTCCCTTGTGTGCATTTAACAGATCTAGTTTCAAGTACCATGCAGCAGTTCTTAAAGACTTTTTTGAATTTGGGGGGAAAAAGGAAGCCAATCTGAATATGGTAAGTAGGAGACCCTGATTCAAGTCCAATTATTTAAGTCAACATCATGCAACTCTGAATGAGTCAATGATCTCTTTATTGAATTTATCTGTAAATTTAAGGAACAGTGTTCTGAGGAACAATGGTTCAGAAAAAGATTTCATGAGAAAAGGATGGTGGTAAAATACATTTGTGAACTGCTGCGAAATGTAGTTTCCTTTTGGCTGGATCATGTATGTGTGCATGTGTGTGCTCAGTTGCTCAGTCACGTCTAACTCCTCAACCCCATGGACTGTAGAGCCTGTCAGGCTCCTCTGTCCATGGGATTCTCCAGGCAAGAATACTGGAGTAGGTTGCCATTTCCTCCACCAGGGGAACTTCCCAACCCAGGGACTGAACCCAGGTCGCCTGAATCTCCAGCACTGTAGGCAGATTCTTTACTGCTATTAGCCTATTTAAGTCTCTGATATTTCATACCCTCTCCCACCTCCACTTAAAAAATCTTGTTTAATGATGTTTAACCCAGCAAATTCTCAACCTAATTGTTCCCAGAGACCTTTCTTAGATATAACTACAGATGACAACATACTTAGAGACATGCTGAATTAGAGAAATCTCTTAACTTTCCCAAGTTATGAATCTAAAGGCAGCTAAATAATTACATATAACCAAATAATTACATGCAAAAGATAAAACCAACACTTCAAACTCCAATGCAAAAGGAGAATACTCATTGTGAAGGTAATACAACACACAAAACAGGGTTTTTTATTGCCACTTAATTTTTTTAATGGAAGGATATTTGCTTTACAGAAATTTGTGATTTTGTTATATATCAACAAGAATCAGTCACAACAACACCCATGTCTCCTCCCTCCCCATCCCACCCTTTTAGGTTGTCATAGAGCCCCCAAAACAGGTTGTTGTTTTTTTTTAACAAGTTTCTCATGCAGGTAATCTGACACTGAGAAGTCCTTCATGTGGAAGTATAATTTGGCATCACTTTTTCTGCTCTCTGATGCTATGTAGCAATCAGAAGAAAAAAAAAAATCACCACTGCCTATACAATATACAACTGTTTAAAAATTGTTTTTAGAGCTTTATATAGTATTTCCAAATCTTCTATTTTTTTCTCCTAAGCTCCCTCCTCACTAATTATAAATAGTCCTTTACTTTCATTCCCTTCCCCGCACCCCCCCCACCCCGTATAAAGTGCAGATTATCAATTCAGATGAAGTGGAGCATAGGTCAACTACTACAATTAAGAGAAGGGAGAAATAGCAGTTTTAATTAGAGCTATCATATGTTCATGCTTTATTTGCATAATGAAAATTCTGTCACTTATTTCCTCATAGTTCCTAGTATATGGGTGCACTTAATTTGATTTCATTTTCTACTATTACAATTCTTGATACGGATCATTTGTAATTGAACTGCTTTTCCAAATCTAAAGTAAAATCCTGCTCTTACTTCTATTCTTCATGATATTCTGAAAGAAAACTTTTTTCCATTCTATCCTATACTCCCATCCTTCCCCGAATGAGCACAGAAGGCAATCTGGATTCACAATAAGTGACCAAAAGAAATCCCTAAGAAACTAGAATGGCTTTGCAAGAGAAGGACAAGAATTCACAAAGAATATTCTATCTTTGCTATTATACCAAAATTGCTGCTACATAAGTGGGAAGGATTTGTTGAAAGATGGGGAATTAGCTCATTTTATTTCTTCAAAAAAATCTACTTCTTGTCTCAGCAATTTTTATTAAAGGTGCCTCCATTTTTCCAGTCACACTGATTCCAATCTTACATTTATCCAATCATTTATTGAATTGCATGCATCCTTTCTTTCACCCGCCCCAACCATTTCACTGGATTGCCATTGCCCTACTTCTGGTCCTAACTACCTTCTACCTGGCTGAGTGTAATAGCTTCCTTATTGGTATTTCAGCATCAGGTCTCCTCTCTTATCCTTAGCTACTTCTACGCCTGCATATGTTCTCTGAATAAACTGTAGCCGGGTGGTCTTCCTGTCTCAAAAATTTACAATACTTGTCTTAAATTGTAGGTGAGACCACTCACAATGTTACCTCTAGGTACATTTTCTACTTCCTTTCCCAATACTCTAATAAAGCTGGCTGACTTAGCTTCCCTGGTGGCTAAGTGGTAAAGAATCCACCTGCCAATGCAGGAGAAGCAGGTTTGATCCCTGGGTCAGAAAGATCCCCTGTAAGAGGAAATGGCTACTCACACTGCAGTATTATTGCCTAGAAAATTCCATGGACAGAGGAGCCTGGTGAGCTACAGTCCATGAGGTTGCAAAGAGTCAGACACAACTGAGCGACTGAGCACACATGTGCAACTTGCACTTTCCTAAACACACTTCATGTTTTCTCATCTCTACATCTCAACTTAGGCTAATGGGGGTACATTATTCTCTTCAAGGTGGCTGTCTATCAAAATCTTACTCAAGAGTGAAGTATCATAACTCATATGATCCTTTATGCATTCATTCTCAATTGCCCAGATCAGAAATTCAATTCTCTTCTCTTTCACTTAATTGATTCTTTTATCTAGTTTTTACAATATACACCTACATAATGTGGTATTTGTGTACACCTTTATTTGCACTTTTGGATTTATCTTCTCCTGAAGGCCAGGGTTTAATATCTTAGTATTTCCCAAAGGACTTAGCCTAATACCTGCAAACAACTATCATTCAGTAAGTACTTGAAGAATCCCAGATTTAGTATCAATAAGATCATTAATGATTATTTAGTCCAAACCTCACTTGAAAAAAAGGTGGAATGAATTATAAAGAGTTAAGTGAATTGCTCATGCCAAGTCAGATTTCTCAGCTGCTACTTCTGCTATATAAAATAACTTCTACTTTTAGTGCCAAGGTTACACCACACATGGTACCTTTGGAATAAAATGCTGATAGAATTATAATGACTCATGGTAATACATTATTCTTTGACTCCATTCAGAAATTTAAAGTGGAAGTGTTAGTCGCTCAGTCATGTGCAACTCTTTGGGACCCCATGAACTGGAGACCACCAGGCTCCTCTGTCCCTGGGATTCTCCAGGCAAGAATACTACAGTGGGTAGCCATTCCCTTCTCCAGGGGATCTTCCCAACCCAGGGATCGAACCTGGATCTCCTGCATTGCAGGTGGATTCTTTACCATCTGAGCCACCAGGGAAGCCATTCAGAGATTAATATGGATCTATTTTTCTTGTTCTTCCTTCGAATATTCTCTAATCACTCTCATTGATATGCTTCACAATACATGATATTCTGCCTGTAAGAACCAAGAAATGCAAATTTATGTAGATTTTTATTCAATCTACATGTAAGACTTGCTTAAGGAGAAACATTTGGTGTTTGGGCTTACACTGTCACATGTGACATCTGTTTAGACAAAATAGGCATTTATTTTTTATAGGAAGGAATCACAATTGTTGAATAAATAAATGAACAAAGGAATGACCAGAAAAATATAGAAGCATTTAGAAGCTGCAGACATGCCTGCTAAAGATATCAGGCACTTATAAAGGGGATAGGCTGACTTTGAATATGCTCATATTAAGTTAACCATCTAACACCTCTAAGACTCCCCTTTCTCACACTTCGCTTTATTCCACATTTTAAAATTCATCTTGGAAAAAAATTATTTCAGAATTATAAAAATACTGATGCTCAATTGTCTTGCTATGTTCCTTTTCTTCCTCTCGTTTTTAATTGATTTTCAAATGACAGAAACATGGAGTCAAATCAGAGTGGTCCAAATACTATACAATGTTTGCCAAGTATTCCACCTATGGTTCTAGTTAGTAATGAGATTCCTTATCTCTTTTGACATATGCATTTTCTCTCCAACTAGACTGGGAAGGCAATGAAGTGTTGCCACCATTTTATACTTGATTCTCCTTAGAGAAGCGTAAGCTGACTTCCAATTTAAGATGGCAGGCTGAATAAACATGTCTCATATTACTCTTTAAAAGCCATGAAAA